ACATGTATTTTGCATGGTTTCTGGTATAAAATAAATTCTCAACAAAGTATTACAATACTATTTTCCAGAAAAATAAGGTGGCACACTTAGAATCAGGATCTTGGTTTGAACTCTCCATCCTTACCTTTGGAAACGCAAGTCTTAGCACTGACTGGCATCAATCTTTCCTAACACAGATGTGAACATTAAGACCAGAGAAGAGGAAAGAAGTGGCCCAAGGTATGGCTGAGAGTAGTCTGACACCTGACCTCAGCTTCATTTTTTGTTGTTTTGTTTCAATGCCCTGCCTTTTCCAGGGCCTTGGTTTTCCACTATTCCTCTAACCCCACTCACCCCTGCTAAGGAGTTTTCCTCTAAAGACTCTGTTCCCACCATGGATGTTGGCACTTGGCTGCAGTACCCAGGCTCCCTTGGCACTCCTTTCATAGGATGAAGCCAGGGTGGGCTTGGTGCAAGCCTCTGGATGTGTGGGAATGCGTCCCCCACCCCAGGAATCAGGCCTGGCTGCTGCTGGTATGTTCGCTGAGGACCCTTTGGCAGCCATCCATGATTCGAGACAAGCAAGCCAGCCAAGACAAGACAGAGGCTAATTACCTTGGGTAATAGGAAATTGGACAGCAGCTACAAGAAGGGTGTCTAAGCCTCTAGCCAGGCAAGGACAGGGACCACAGATGCCCAGACTGGCCTCAGTCACTGGCACTGAATAGAAACTCCTGTTCAGGGTCATCCCTGGATTTCAACACCCCAGGGGAAACAGGGGCTGGCTGCACTCGCAGACCTTCTGGGTACCCACCCCCCTCTCTCTGCTGTTCTTGTTTGTTTTCATTCAAAGCAAAACAAATGAAACAAACAAGGAAATTCAATTTAAATAGGGCACGGGTGCTGATGTTTCTGTTTTGTTACACCAGGGTGAGCTTAGGACAGAAAATCAGACTTGACTTTCACTCTTCCAATTGGTCTCACCCTGAGGCACTGTGTGAAATTACATGGATGAAGGGGCTGCAAAAGCAATTTGCCTTTCTAGATGGGTGGAGAGAGGGAATGGGGCTGGATGGGGGGCGGATTGGAAGAGAGAGAGAATGTAATTCAAGTGTGAAATGGAACAGAGACTGAGACACACATACAGAAGCAGAAACTAAGAGGATAACAAATAGGAAAAAGGGAGTAAGGGCTGGGGTTGTAGTTCCATGGTAGAGTGATTGCCTAGCTTGTGAGAGGCACTGAGTTCGATCCTCAGGACCACATAAAAATAAATAAAATAAAGGCATATGTGTGTGTGTGTGTGTGTGTGTGTGTGTATAGTTTGTTTGTTTGTTTGTTTTCTTTGTTTGAACCAAAAAGGCCATGTTAGGCAGTGGAATGAACATTTATATATATATAAATTTATATATATATAAATTATTTTTAAATATATTAAGAAAAAAGAAAAAGAATGTCAGACGAAGATAGGAATCTGTAAAGAAATACTTTCCTGAAAAGGTTTTAAAAGATACAGAGATACAGAGAAACAGAGAGGCACAGGAGGGGCAAAACAAAAGTTAGAGAAATTGAAAAGACTCAGGAGCCCAGGAGGAGGATAAGGAGAGACAGAATGAGAGTAAATTCCATGGTAAAAGTATGCAGAACTCTCAAGCTGTGGGGGATCTGGTGCATCTTCATTTTAAACATGCTGAATTGGCACAGCAAATACAATGATAGGAATGTTTAGCCCAAGGTTCCAGAGGCAGAAATGGTGGCAACAGGATGTGAACCCAGGATCCCTGGTGGAGAGCCGGGGGGTTCCAGTCTCCTGACACCGGAATCTCTTTGGAAGCCTACATGGGGGGACTGCAATCAGGCTGTGTTCAACTACGTTCTTTTTGAGCCTTCTCTCATCTGAATCCACTCTCTCTTCTCTTCTTTCTTTCCAAAGGATTCTGGATGGTCGTTCCTTTGGGGGCTAGTGGGATTTCAAATTGCTTCATAGGGACAAGTTCCTCCAGGGTTGTTCTTGGAAGAAAAAGACATTGATAACCAAGGACTGAGTCAAGAAGAATAAAATGAGAAGAAAAATTGTTAACATCCCTGCAGCCTTCCTCTGCGCCAGGCATTCTGGTAAAGCCTGTTCTTGTAGTTTCTCAACTCAGTCCTCTTCTCTGTAATTCTATGAACTAGAAGAGATTACCAATCTTCTTTTCCAAAGAAAGAAACTATCATGTGGAACAGTGTAAAAATGACTTGCCGGGGGTCAAGTTAGGAGTACGAACAGGGCAGAATCAGGATCCACACCCAGCCCAGTCTGTCCCTCAAGTCTGTGCTCATTCCGCTGCCTCACATGGCCTTTTTGGCTCAAACAGAAGAAAACAAATTTTGGTAAGGAAACTAGCAAGAAGAAAAGGAGAAACCCCAAGAAGAACACTGGGAACTGTCTTAAAACACAAGACCACGTTGGTCAGACATCATAGGAGGAGGGCCGCCAGTGGGATGAGAGAACATTCCAAATAACCCTCTGGCTCCTGGTCAGAGTGGCCCAGATCCCAGGGCCATTAACAAAATCAATCTCAAAAATAAATAAATGAATATATAAATAAACAAAATAAAGAAGTGTTCAGAGATAGGGAGGACAAGTACATTTCCAGGACAGAGGAAGAATGTTCCCTACTTCAAGAGGTGAGTAGGAAAAGTGCCAGGCAGGGAGGAGAAGAAGGGCACGTGTGTTCATCATATTTGGAGGATGGCAACTGATATGGCATCTCTTGTGTTAACTGCTTTTCTGCAGATCCATAAAATGTTTCATCGCTCTATATAACGGAGCTCTACGCATTATCCAACACAAGTCCCCTACAATGCCACCCAGAGACATGGTTACTCCTTCTGACCCTTTCTGCTAATTGCTCTCTCTCCCTTGAAGAATGGATAGGGAGGAAGTTAAAATTAACAGTCACCAAGGGCAACAACAGCAACAGGGGTAACAGCTGACGTTTCTTAGACTCCTACCAGGAGCTCACCACCAAGCAGAAAGCCTTTTGCACATGATCTCACGGGGGCCTCCTAAGAGCCCAGTGAGCCAGACACCATATCATCTATACTTCCCACAGGAGGAAGTGGAGGCTCAGAAGGCTGAGCACCTCATTCAGTAACTTGATATCACACATCTGATAAAGGGGAAAGCATGGACTTCAACTTAGGTCTGTCTGCCTCTGGTCATCACCCTTAACGAGGGACAGAGGAACCAGATGACAACCACCAAGAAATTCTGAAAATGCTATTTTCTTCATGGGATCAGAACTTTTAGAGTTGGAGAGGACCTTATGCCTCTTAATCTAGTCATAGTGGCAGGGCTTACTGGTCAGGATGTAAAGTCTGAATTCAGTTCCACCAATCACTATGAGGATTGCAGTCATTCTTTGATGCCTGAGGTACATTCTACCCTCACTGTGAAGTCTAGATGTTTCACAAAAGAGTTCTGACAGCAGAGTACAGAGATTCCTGCCATAGACTATTCACCGCTCCCAAGCGATTTAAGAGAAATCTTGAACCCCAAAGCCTCTGAGACACCCGGTGGCAGAGCCAGGGTCGGAAGGTCCAATTCCCAGCTTACAGTGATGTTCTTGAGTTTGGTGCACTAATCTGTTGGACGTTAGCAAAAAGCCTGAATATGTCAAGCACTCAAAAGGGCACCATGGTTTTTGGAAAAGTCACAGTATTTTCATAAAGCAAGCAGAAGTGGGAGATCAATGTGCTTTAGAGGTGAGAGAGTTTCAGAGATTGTGGAGAAGCTAATATTTATTGAGCATATACTTAGGATACTGTGCTAACCCCAATGTTTAATTAATGTTTAATTATCATTTAACTCTATAAACTAGGTTTCATTATTTCTGTTTTACAAAGGCAGAGCTTAGGTCATATAACTAAAAGGACTAAAGTCAGACTTGAATACAATGTTTATGGCCTTTTACACTATCACTAGATTCTAAGTTATCTAAGAATAGGACCTCGGCTAAGTTAACATTCATGCCTAAAGTCCGTAATGCAGTGCCAAGACATAAGAAACCCTCAGAAAATGTCTGTTATATAAGTAAATGAGGTATGATGAGTAAAAAAAATGTAAACAAAACAATTGCTAAATGAAAGAGTGAATGAAATGAAGAAATATAAGCATGGATAAATGGACACATGAGATGGATAGAGAAGGGAAAGAGGGAGGAAAGATGTGAGGGAGAGATAAATGGAAGTTGGCAGAATGTTGGGTTGATGGATAGGTGAATGGGTGAGTGAATAAATCACTGAGTGATGAAATAAAAGAATAAATGAATAAGTTGGATAATTGATGAACAAGGCTTAGCTTCTTAACAAATGTAGCTTTCTAGGCTACTAAGGGAGATGGCCTAGGGATCCACAATTAGGGTATATGAAGAGAGTCAGTCTCTAGAAAGCCATCCAAATGTAGCAATACTCAACAAGGTAGGAAATGATTGAAAAATAAGCCTCTTTTATTTTCTGAAATTAACAAATGAATCTGAGAATGACTTCATCTGCAAAGGTTTAAATGCAGTGACTTACGCATTGTACCATTGAGATGTAATGGTACAGATACTTCTGTGTGTGTATATGTGTGTGTGTGTGTGTGTGTGTGTGTGTGTGTGTGTGTGTGTGTGTGTATGTCTCAGATATATAATGTTTCTAAAGGGCAGAAAAGAGCAGTAAGCAGTGGTTTCCATCCAGCTCTCCTAGATAACTTGCTCTGTGATCTTGATTCCCCTCTGGGCTGCAGATTCTCTGTCAGTAGGATGAATAGTTTTGAATTTCTGCTTTCTTTCCCTGGGCTCTTGAGCACAATGATTTTGTGACTCCCAGTGACCATACTTCCCAAATGGACACTTCTAAGCCTCAGAACCTCAACGTACACACATAGGTTGTCTAATAAAACATTTGGATAACCTGAAGAGAATAAGTGCTACCTTCCCTCCCAGGCTTGAAATCATCCTGCCATCACTCCCCACATACCCATCACGTCTTACTTGTAGAGACCATCGGGCTCCAGGCACTTGAAGATGACCGAGTAGATACTGACTTCAGGGACCTCTCCATGGCTTCGACCAGCTGCTACACAAGATGTGCCCAGGCCAGAGAGTAAGTCATCAGCAAAACTCAGGAATTCTCCTGGAGGGAGACAAAAACAGATGAGCTCCCCAGCTCAGGCCTTGATGAGCCAACATTCATGCCCTGCTGTCCAAACCCATTGAAAGTCTGGATACTACTTTCAGGATGATTAATGGGCAGAAAAAAAAAAAAACACAAGATATGAAAATGTTACTAATTACTATCTAGCCCTGATAACTCTTCACTCAAATTTATGCCTGAATTTTTACGCCTATAAAGTGGGAATGCTAATACCTACCTTTATAAGATTTTTTTTCTTAGAAAATTATAAATTATAAAATTATAAAATTTTTATAAGATTTTTTATAAAGCTTGTATTAAGCTTAAAATGAAGTAAATTAATATAATAAAATATAATAAAAATACACAAAAAGAAAACAAGGGGATTATGCTTCCTTTCTGCTAGAGTAACTATTTTGGCCTTGTCACTGACATTAATCATTAACTTCTTCCTAACTCCTTAGACAAGTCTTTCTTTTTTGGGAATTGCATTTTTCTTATTTGCATAACAAAGAGGTTGGACTAATGAAAAAAGAGATTTTATGTCGCGTAGCTACTCTTATACACTGTTACAGCCTTCATGGAGATCATGCTGTGAGGACAGAGATGTAGACAGTCAAGGGCAAAGAGTCCTATGAGTGATTAGCAATAAAGGTCATGAGTATAGGAAAGGACAGTGGAAGAAGTATTATATCTATGTGATCCTCAAACTCCATGATTTCTAAATGTCAATTTAGCCATTGGATGTTAGGGAGCATTTGAGATTTACTAAAAAGAGAACTCTGCAAAGAAGAGTAGAAAGCAAAGAAGAGTAGTCTTAGCTCTGATAAGAATTTACTACACACACACACACACACACACACACACACACGTATATAAACACATATGTATATATACAGCATATATATATTTTACTGTACAGCTTTGGGCAACAAAATTCTCGTTTTTATGACTTAGTTTTCTCTTTTGTAAGATTAAGGTGCTAGAATCATTTTATGAGCCTTGATAAAAATAAAATAAAATAACATGGTTAATTTATAAGGGCAAAATTAAGATAGAAGCGCAAATCCTATAGTTCTGGTGATACATAGCAAATATTTAGAGATAACTCAATATAGAAACAATATAGAAATGGCTATATCAATTCAATTATAGTTCAACCATGCAATGGGGTATTTTATGGCCATTAAAAATAATTTGTAAAAGAACATGAAGTTATATAAAAGGATATCATGGCATATTGTTAAGTTAAAAAAACAGGCTATAATATTACAGAATAATCTATTTTGTGGAAATTCTACATATATATGAATTTTAAAGCAGAAGAAAGAAAATGTTGCAAATGCTTAATAGTTGCTATATCTGGAGGATGAGATAACAGGCACTTTTTTAATCTTATTTTTGCTCTATCTCTACTTTTAAATTAACTTCAATAAACATATATTGCTTTTCTAACAAGAAAAAGATATCAATAACAATTACTTAAAAATAGATAATGTGAATGAACCAGACGAAATGGCCTCCAAGTTCCCTTCTAATTCTAAAATGGGATGATTTAGGAGCAAAGTTGGCATGTGAGGTATTTTACACTGCACAGTATCAAATAAAATGGGGCCTTCCAACTCTTATTTCTTTGTTCCTCATCATGCCTTCTGTGGAGTTCCTTGGGCTTTGTATTTTCATACATTTCTAAGTAATAATGCCGGTTCAATTATGTCCTCCCCGTTGGGGATTATAAACAAGCCAATGAAATGGAACTGTTATGGAACCACAATGTTGGTTAAGAACTTGAAAAGATTAGAACTCAGAAAAGACACGTGGGCATCCTTCATCAAGAAGCTGGTTGAGCAGAATATACCTACAATTCCTATTGCTCTTTCAAAGAAAAATTTCATTCTTAAAAAAGTGCAGTAAAAAAATAAAACAGAAACATTTTATTCTTCATCTAAAAAGTGAGTCTTTTAACATTTGTTTGGTTGAATTGTTTGGATTGTCCTGGGATTCAGTCAAACTAACTCTTCTGTAGTCTAATATAGCAGATCTGATGGGTAGCTTTTTGCAAAGGATATGTACAGTTCATTGACTTGGCACCAGGATACTATATTCAATGTCTTAATCAGAATTATGTCAGCAATATGCATTTTCAGCTCAACTATAAGACAGACATGGGCTGAAATCTATTGCTACTATTTGTTGAAAGCCGGTAAGCCTCTCAAAGTCTCGGTTTTCCATGACAAGAAGTTAATATATCTTTTGTGTGTTTCAAGTTTAGAAAGTAAAGCCAAGAACTAGAAAGAAATAAAGATTTCTAGAACCAGAGGTTTTTCAGTAAAGTGAAGAGGTAAACAAAACATATTTGTCATGACTTTTGGCATCCCTCATTTCATCTGCAAGCCTCTTATGGTCGATTTCTTCCATGGTTACAATCATAAACCAACAACATCTCCATTCCAACAGATACCAAAACAGAGCAATGTATGTGATAAAAAAAATTTTTTTGAAAAGAGGGGAAAACATGGAATTATTCATTGGATGGAGTGAGGGTCTTGTTTCATTCGGTTTCCCAGGATTTCAAGTCTGGCTGCTCATATTTGTTTTCTTTGAGCTTGGTTCCACGTCTGTCTGCTTTTCAATTTATTTCCAGATAGCCAATGAAAGAGTTGGCTCTTCATGAGGGAATTCAGTATGCTTGTGGCCAGGATTAATTAACTGCCTTAAAGCCAAAAGATGGCTGACATTCATTTTCAAATGGGCATAGCTTTCTAGATATTTCCATGAATTTCAGAATAATTTGGATCATGGATAAAACTTCCATAAACATGATCAGGTCAGTGAGAAAGTTCTAAACAGTTTTAATGTTCATAGGTTTAATTCAAGTGGAAAAGCTGGACAACTTGAAATGTAACTATTCCTATCAAGGGTACTATAGGTGCATATAAGTGTCCAGTTCTAGTTGGGACTAGATCTGTATAATGATCTCAAGGAAAGTTCAAAGGAAAGGAACCTGCATTTAGTACGAACTTTTCTTTTTTTCCATTTAATCCTAACAACAACCAAATAAGTTACATGTTCTTATCCCCAAAGTAAAGATCAAGAGTATAAAATGAGGACTGAATAGAGCTGAGATTTGAACCCCTATTCTAACTCCAAAGCCTTACCTTTTCTTTTATACCATGCTGCCTCCTACAGAAAGTTTCAAAATGAGGGTGTTAAAAACTAAGCTTCCTCAAAGCTATTCAATTTGCAATTGAATATACACCTCTCTTAGTTCTATTGGCCTGAAGAATGAGACCATAAAACAAATGGTCCCTGACCTTCTACAGCTTGTAATCCAACAACAGGAAGGGTTGTTAAATACATGAACAGCCTCATAGGATAAATTGTAAGATTGCTTTTCTTGGCACTCCTTCAGAAGATTTAAATGCAATGTAGATGCAGACAGGTGAATGAAGTGACCCCTCAGTCCCCTTCCTCATCTTGTGGAGGGGATACTAAAAAGGTCTGTGAGCATCTCTATGTACAAATACAAATCAGTGAGGTTCAACCACAGTATGGTGGTGGTTCTACAATGTACTATACTCCACATGTGGCCACAGTACAGTCTTATAAGTAGTAATACAGGGCAGTGGCTAAGAACATGCACTCAGAATTCACACTGCCTAGGACTTAATCCTGGTACAATCCCACTTGCTTGATTTGGACAAGTTCTTTAACCTTGTACATCTATTTTCTTATCTGCTAAAATTAATGGCATCTAATATAATTTTTTGAATATCATATAAAATATTGTATATAAACTATTAGCAAAATGCCTAACACAGTAAGGGCTCAAAAATGCTGTCATTATTGTTTTTGTTGTTATTCTTGTCATGGTAACAGAGATAAAGACTTAGACATTTTTTAATACACACTTCGCCATTCATAGATGATAAAACTGAAGGTCAGAGAAAGAAAGTGGCATGACCATGGCCATACCCAGAGTGGGAGGTAGATATGGAACAAAAACTTGGTGTCTTCACTCCTGTGGTCTAGGATCATTTATATAAGCCTGCCTGTGAGATATTTGGAGAATTAAAGGGCTTTCAAAGCTGCCAGAGGAGCCCTTTCTCCTCAATTTCTGACCACTTTTTTCAGCATGAATGATATATATTTACTGGGCATTGACTATACAATAGGTACCATGTTAGGTCCATGTTAGGTACCATGTTAGATTCCTTTCTGCCATCTTCTTAAATCTGGAATTACTGAGAAAGAAACAAATCTGAGAAGAAACAGAGAGATTCAGTAGGTTTCTGATATATAATATATTCTAACAGCAGTTTACCAATTAGAAAATATATAACCTCAAAGGTAAGGATGAACACTAATGATAGAGGGGACTAGAGTGCATCTCCTCTATTAACCTCCAACCAGATCAACTCTGACTTGATCTAGGTCATATGCTAATGGTCTGTGTTTTATTTAGTTTTAAAAGACTGTTTATAGAAACCTGTCTTAAAAGTTTTATGGCTAAATAGAGAAGAATGAAATTATGTCATTTGCAGGAAAATGGATGGATCTTGAGAACATTATGTTAAGCAAAATAAGCCAAATTCAGAAAGTCAAAGGTCATGTTTTCTCTCATGTGAGAAAGATAAAGAGAAAAAAAAAATGGGGGAAAAGGTGTAGGAGAAATCATGAAAATAGAAAGAACATAAAAGTAGACTAGAGAAAAGGGACCAGGGAGGAGAGAGAAAGGAAGGGAAAGGGGAGATACTGGGGAATGATACTGATCAAATTATATTGTTATATTGTGTGTATGTATGAATATGTAACAATGAACTCCCACTACAGCATGTAACTATAATGCAACAATAAAATAAGAAAAAAATTAAGGCTAAGCTAAAAATGTTTGAATTCTAAAACTGTGCCACATCCCATTGTTGAAAAAGGGGATCAGGAATACTGCACCCTAATTTAAGGATTTACAGCTACTCAGGGGCCAGAGTCCAGAGCCAAAT